CTTTGCATTCACGACACGCTCCGCTAACGAGGAGAAGCTGTATTGCAGCAGGCGCAAAGGCATGATTGACAGCGCTAACGGTATGTTCACACCAAACACGCTCTGCGTGTCTGGTTTACATTCAAAGTCTATGGCGTGTCCAGCGCCTGTTGCAGCGTGTTTGGAGTGTTTTAAGTGTTTGACACATCCAACAAATGGGCCAGCAACAGAAAATTAGCTAGCCCTCGTCCACATAGACTTTGAAGGTAAACCAACATGCAAAACGCGTATGGTGCGAACGCACCATTGTCTGCCTTCAAAGTGCACACGTGCTGAACTTGAAGCATTGGACTAGTTTTTGACGCATTTGGTGTGAACGCACCATAAGACCCTCCTCCTGGCTCTGATTGGTTGTTTCTAGTTAGCACTGGGAGGATGCAGAAGACCTTAACTTCTCCACATACCATACTCTGTCAACATAGTGACTTTTCCAACAAATATGTAAAAAAATACAAATAAAAAAAAAAAAAGAAAAGTATTACAGCTACATTATGCAGCTATAAGGTTTAAAGTTCTCTAATTTTACAAGCATGTGTCTTCTGACAGGAGATACTAACACGCTGAAGTGACCCAGAAAGGTGGGACCTAACTCAGACCGTGGGAACTAATGATGAGGCTGATGGCAGATAAGCCTTCAAATGTCAAAGACCTGGAACTCATCACATAAGATTCATCCTAAAAAATATTTGTGGAAACTTAAATTATTCTAATGCCAAACAGTTTTTTGGAACTTATTATATAGAAGAGTATAGAAAATGTATAAAAAGAGCATAGGAAAAGTATGCAAGTGTTAGGTGAGGGCTGAAGGTTAAAGGGTTGGTTTGGCGTTTTTGAAGTGAGATTCTGTGAAGTTATTGTCAATAGTTTCTCTACCTGCAGTAGAAAAACTACTGACAATAAAATGTTAGCTGTGGCATCTGTGAGCTCATCATTTGTTTTAGCTGACTCGCAATTTAACTCTCAAACTAAAAATGTTACATTGTTGGTGTGTGTCGGTGTTAGCGTTGTACTATTAGTCTACACTTCACAAGATAGAGCTGTTGTGCTTATTGCTGTTTCGTGAAGTTAAACATCTGTTATGATGCAGCATACCTCCAACTTGTAAGCTTTCCCTCCCAGGATGCTTTTATTTCTCAACAACCTCACTGTAATTTGACGCCATGCGTGGCTACCATTAATAATAACTTGACAGAATACTTCAAAATCAAACCTTTAACCTGCTTTTTCCAATCCAGAACCAGAACACGTCTGATGTGGCGCCCCCCAAGAAAAAAGTCACTGTTCCAAAACAGACAACATCAATTTGGGCTAAAAGTTGCAACTGCCCACATAGAAAATCTAAATACCTTCTAGAGAAATGTTTACATTCAGGTGAGACAAAGACTGAGCAGCTCTAAAATGTTGGTGCGAGTCTTTCCAACGCAACACTACTGTCCCATCTGTCAAGCATGGTGGTGGTAGGATTATGTTGAGCGCCAGTTGGTTTGCCCTCAATGGGGGGAATAATGAAGATGGAGGATTGCCTCCAAATGATTCAACTTAACCAAAATCCAACTGGTAGATTGTTGATGGCCTGTGGGTTAATGCCAGAACTGTGGCAGGAAGCTAACCAATTTATATCAATTCTACCAATTTTACTAAGAAGAGTGGTCAAAAATCCAGGCATGCATAGTGTCTGGTCTAAGTGTACTTTACATATTAAATCAAATATTAGCTTAACTGTATGTATATATCCGACCCTGCCTGCATGAGAGGAAACATACAGCAAATTCTAATTTGTGTGCTGCTGTTGTGGTGAGTGACAGTAAATCCAACCAGTCAGCTGTGGTCGGGCTTTGTTCAGCCAATCAAAGTTCAAGGTATGTGTTTTGTTGTAAACTTAGCACACTTAGAAGCTGAACAGAAGCTAGTTGCTATAACTAGTAGCAACCTGATGTAGTTGCTTTAACAACGGCAGCTCAATGTGACATTCCTGCTATTAGATTTTTTTAAAAAAAGTTTGGAATATATGACTGAAAGAAGAACCAGCACAGAAGAGAATTTGCAATGAAAAAGATTTTTCAGCTCTTCTAAATGTATTCCTTGAAGATGGGATAGGTCTGTAATTTCAGGAAAGAGTTTTGAACAGGTGTAAGATTTTTTTTTTGATGGAGGTTTACTCAAAAAAAAAAATAGAAGAAAAAAGTAGAGATTTAAACATGTTAGAGCAGGCTGTTTTCTTTTCTCTCTCAATACTTAGAATTGCATGCGAGAGTCAGGAGGTTTCTCTGTCTGTGTCCCCTGAAATGATTCATTCCCAGTGCAGTAGATATAAACCTTTGACCCTCCATGAATTTGCAGAGCTTTTGTTTCATTTAGCTGCCAAAGCACACATTAGGTCTGGCACTTCATCCGCCCTTCACCTGAACTCACTGCCTGAACAATGTCCTCACAGTACTTCAAGCCACAACATAACTTGCAATACATGATTGAGTAAAAATTATTCTGTTACACAATCAATTTATTGATTATAAACATCAATCTTCATAGAAATGTTCTGCCTCCCAGCTGCCTAATTTCAAATATTGCCAAGTGAAAGGTCTTGCTGAAGAGATCGGCTGATGCAGCTGATATTCTACAAGACTAGCTGAAAGTGCAAAGATATTACTGAGGCAAGACTGGACACACACACGTGCGCGCATACACACATATATCTTAATTATAGCTTTTGTTCTGGTTTGTTTTTGCCCTTAACCACATCTAATTTCCTCAAACCTACTGACTGAGCTACAGACCAGTGACGGACCACCAAACTGCTCAATCTGATGTACCAAAATGCACCATCGGTTTTAAACAACTTCTACTTTTATTGTTAATACAAAAGTGGACAAACCCGCCCCAAACATCACACTGTTCAAGTTTTGCTCCCATATTGTTTGGACAGAAATGCCACTGTTTTCTATAGAGTACTAGCATGTTCTCTGAGGAACACAAACCACATTTATTTTTCCACTTGCAGTTGTCTGTGTTGCTAGTCGGCACTAATGAGTGGTTATAGTTTAAGAAGTGAGCTGAGTTCACAACCAATGGACTTACAGTAATAGTCTTCAAATGTTTAAGACTATTACACCTTCACACCAACATTTTATTGGACAATGTTTCTAACTCATTAAGAAATTTTCATTGGAATTCAACCATCTAAAATGTTTACACTGAGTTTACACATGTTCCTAAAATAGTCGTGTTTGCATGAGTTTGGATGAAGTTACTTCAGATCTGTAAATTCAGTTTTGCGCTACACTGTTTCTCCATATTTCCCACCAGTCTGTGTTGCTAGCTGTCAAAAATAACTTAGCAACGTCCCGTTGAAGATGGTTTTTAATCGCTGATTGCTATCAGACATGTGAAATTTAAGTATTTGATGATGATGATGCAGAGTCTGAATCTTTCCTTTCCGTTTCTCAGAATGGTGACAAACGTTTAGTCCAGAACTGAATTATTAATATTTGGAGTTATTTATTGAAGTTCAAAGGTAATGCTAAAGTGTTATCCTGGGTTGAGAACTTGCTGAAAATGCTCTAATATTTTATGCCCTTCAGATGAAGTTGTTGTCATGTTTAGCAAACTGCTCTGGACCTCTAACATTCAACCGACTAGCACTGGAAGCTGTCTGGGGATATCTGAAGGGAAACTTAGCTGGTTTCGGCTGCACAAATATAGCAGATATCACAAGGCTGCACTCTTGAATTAGTAACTGCCTTTCTTCCCTCAATTTGCTTTTGTAGGATTGTTTCACGGATTTTCATTAAGGAAAAGGTTGTGGGAAATTCACATTAAATTTTCTATTTAGAAGGAACAACCATTACCACAAAATATTTGTGCACTCTTCAGTGACAACTCTCAAATAGCTGCTGTTTCTCCCGAGCCATTAAATAATTGTAATATTAGCAATACACAAAAAAAAACTAACAAAAAAAAGAAAAAAAAGTGCCAGAGAAAAACCTGTTAAATGTTCAATCATACTATCAATAAATTGACTGTTTTGGAACATTTAGCAAGATGCTTGAAAAAAAATAAAATAAATATTTAGTTGAAGCTTTACCAAACGTCTAAGCATTCTATCTTAAGCAAGACGCACTTTATGAGCAGTACCAACTTTTGGTGATAGAAAATATGAAGGTGAATAGAGTTCTATCCATACTGCAGATGAAAACCAGACAGAAAGAAAAAGCAGAGATTCTGAAACTATGTGGCGAACTTGTGCATGGAGATAACTAGCTTAGCCACTGAATGGTTCTGTATGTGTCTAAAGACGAAACATGCAGAGATAAATGACTGGAACCAATCATCCATGTTCATCAGCAAAATGACTCAACTACTGCCACTTAAAATGCATATAGTCAGATAACTATATAGTCATAAGTACCTTTTGAATCTGGAAGCAGAAGTTAAAGCTGCAGTATGTAACCTCTGAGTTATATTTGTTGAAACTGTCACCATCTTGTGACAATATGAGTCAAATAATGTGTGAAAAGAAATCTAACTAATCTGCCTTCTTCAAGTGCTAATGAGAAGCAACCAATCAGAGCCTGGAGGAGGGTCTTAGCGCTGTTATTTATGCTCATGTACACATCGCTCATTTCCCCCACCGTCCTATGCTTGGTGCTGCCCTAAAAAACTTTTATGGGACGGTAAGTTATTTTTCCGCCATTAGTACATTTAGCAGCACGTATTCGAGCTAGACTGACAGCACTAAGCCCCTCCTCCTGGCTCTGATTGGTTGTTTTTGGTGCATTTCTTCAGATGGCAATATAAGCAGTGGGAGGAGGTGACGGAGCTCCATCTTTTCACAGATTATCTGTCTCATACTGTACTGTCACAGCATGGTGACAGCTTTAAAAAATATCAAAAAAAAAAAAAAAACTTTTGCAAAAGTTACACACTGCAGCTTTAAACAGACATTTTTTTGAAGCTCACATTTCTGTATTAAAATGAACTTTTATTGATCCAATGAAATATTCCAATCTTAAATGTCACGTTTTCATCAACTGTAAGTAAAATATAATTAACAGAAATGAAACTGTATGTAATCTATACTTTGCGCTTCCCCCAACTGAGTTATTGAAATAAATTAACTCTTCAATAATATTAAAATTTATTGAATATGACTAAACTTAGGACATATTAAAGATTGAACCTCCGCTTAAAAAAAAGTGGCAAAAAACTTGATGCTAAAAATCAAACCATGAATATGAAAATAAACTAGATATCTTGCAGAATATACTACCAATGACAGAATTTCTGTTCCTGTGCTTCAGTGCAGCTACAGCAGTATTGATTCTTCCAGAAGGTTCACACAGCCAGAGATAACAGAAACCCTGCTGGAGATGCAGTCAAAAGGGAAAGTGTAGCTCATAACAAGTAGCATGAATTCTGGATCAGCCAACAAAACCTGGACCTGCTTTAGATCCTCCTACGACTCGACTCATACAGCAGGGATGAAGGCCAAAACCAGTCATCACCATTTGTTTGGTTGTCCCAATGAATCAAGATAACAGCAAAATAAAGTGTCTGATTACCTCACAGACCTGAAAGCTGCATAATAAAAGGAAAAACTGAAACATTTCACCAAATAAGCCTTTACTAAGTTTGACTCAAGGTTTTTTATGTGGTTCCACAAACATTGAGTCGAGAAGATGATTTGTGTTCCGGTCATCAGGTCAGTGAAGGAACAGAACGTTCCCCGGAACATTAACCTCGGTTTCAACACATTCTGAGATGTGAACGTCTTTCACTAGTTTACGACGTATAAAGGAAACCATAAATAATGATTACTTAGAAATTTGGCTCATTTTAACCCCCCATGCCTGTCAGCACTATCCAATCAATTTGTAAAGGACATCAGTGCCAGTTCACCGTTAAAACACAACCAAACCCTTGATTGCCTAAATATCGTACAGCAACAGGACAAAAGCAGATAAGCCTGTGTAGGCAGAGAAAGAGGGTCAGGAAAAACAGAGAGAGCTGGGGGACGAGGTGAGGGAACAGACTGGAGTGGGGACGCCATAGTAGGAAGGGCTTGTTAAAGGAAAGAGCAACATGAAAAAGAGAAGAACTCCCATCAGGTAGGATGATAAAATGGCGAGGCGTTGGGGGTGCTCCAGTGCAGTGCTGATGGCTGGGAAACCCATGTAATTACAAAAGGAGTGACAGAGAACCGGACCAATCAGATGACCTGGAAAAGACAGAGAGAAAGGCCAGAGTGACCAGAAGTTATGAAGACACACGATCCTTCATGGTTACCATACAGGGCTTCCCCCTGTAAACATGGCCGTCTGCCAGGCTGAGCGCCACCAACTTGTTTATTTAAATCCCACCTTCTGTGGGTTTAAATCCCAACCTACAGGAGCTCTGTTGTGCCTCTGTAGGTCAACACTTGAGAAGACAACGTTCATCATCCTAGCATGTAAATTTACACAAATCCAAAGAAAATCCATACTATAAAATAATCTAAATATTCTCTGATGGTAATGTCAATTTGTGGACCCATTATTGTGTTTCAATGTTCCTAGCTTCAATGGTGTTTCAGTAAAAATAGAAAACATCTTATCATATTTTACACTTAGCCAAATAAATATTTCTGAAAAAAAAAAAAAAAAATCCATAATTGAACCAAAAATATTCTCCAGTGGCCGTGCCGACATCTGATATATTATTATTTTTATGTCCCATTGTTGGAATCTTTTTGTATCGTAGTGGTCAGGTTTTTCTACCAGACTGCTTTAAATCTGTACAATTTCATACAGAACACTTCCCCCGCCTGGCCTGCTGGTGTTGGTCAGAAGGTCTGGTGGCGCCGCTGCATGGCAGCCTCGCCTCTGTCAGGCTGTGACTACTATCTAGTAACTTCCCATCATCAGTGTGTGAATGTGTGTGTGTGTGTGTGTGTGTGTGTGTGTGTGTGTGTGTGTGTGTGTGTGTGTGTGTGTGTGTGTGTGTGTGTGTGTGTG